TTAGGGTTTAGGGTTTAGGGGTAAAATACCAAGAGGACATTCTCGGATCCTCACCCTGACTGCTGTGTGAGTCCTCTGTACCCCAAACGGCTCCACCATGCCGAAACCCCCACACCTGGCACCAATCCCCAAATCCAGTTTTCCAGGTTTCCAGTTTTCCAGGTTTCCAGGTTCAGGAGCATTCTGAGCCGCCTAAACCTGCAAGCCCTCCAACAAAACCACAGACCCCTGAACCCTAAACCCTCCTTGTGCGAGCGTGAGGGTCGAAACCCTAAGCCCTGAACCCTAAAAACATAAGCCCTAAACCAGTTGTAGTTTGTCTTGGTCTTGTGGACGCGTCGAAGCCTTGCCGGGCTGGTGCAAGCGCGAGAGTCGAAAACGCCCAAGCCCCGAGGTCCCGAAACCCTTCACTTCAATGCCCCAATCCCCAGCTCCTAAAATCCTAAACCCATGACCTCAAGTTCTACTCCTGGAGCGCCCCAGGCTGCAGATGAGCAAGACCCGGAGTGCTACGAGGATCGCCACCACCCCCGCCCCCCAGCACCACCACCGCCGCCACCACCCCCGCCGCCACCGCCACCACCACCGCCGCCACCACCGGCAGCACCACCAGCACCACCAGAGGCAGCAGAACCAGCAGCAGCACCTATTAGGGCGATGCAGGACACGTAGATGTGTGGTGGGTTTCCATTTCGCAAGACCCAACTTCTAGAAGCCCGAGTAAATCTCTAAGCCCTCAAAGCCCCCTAGCCCCTAAATCCCCAAAGGCCCTAAGCCCTCAAAACCCTAAGCCCTAAGCCCTAAACCCTGAACCCTGAACCCTGAACCCTAAACCCTAAACCCTAAACCCTAAACCCTAAACCCTAAACCCTAAACCCAAGCCTCTGGAAGACCCAAGTCGGTGTTCGATATTGGCTGGGGTTGAAAGGTCGGGTCGGGGTCTGCAACCCAGACCCCCAAAAGGATCTAAAACATAGATCCCCTAATTAGGGACCCCAACTACTAAAGTGCACTTTATAGGAACCCCCTTAGGGGATCTATTTTTTAGATCCTTTTGGGGGTCTGGGCCCTAAACCCTAAACCCTAAACCCTAAACCCTATTTTTTAGATCCTTTTTGGGGGTCTGGGAATGTATTCAGATTTTCTCGAGCTGCGGTTTAAGGTAGAGCGGAACCGGCTCAATGATGAAGATGCGGGTTTGACGTAATGTAGGGGCTAAGGTTTAGGGTTTAGGGTTTGGGGTTTGGGGTTTAGCCTAAAAAACTGCCAGTACTATTTTGAGAGGATCCTTATTACAACTAAACTATAATGGGCACCAAATTCAAAACTCTATTCTAATTATTACGGCCCTTATATTGCAGGTTACAGGGGCTCATGGAGCTTGGCGGTAACAAGGTGGGCATAAGGCTGTAGTGGGAGCAGCAGTCGAGTCCGGGATTGAAAGGAAGTTTAGGGTTTGGGGTTTAGGGTTTAGGGTTTGAACTGTTCGGAGTGTTGTCAGGTTTTAGGGTTCAGGGTCTTCTGGCTACGAGAAGGACGATCAGGGGCGTGCGCGACACTCTGCTTCCTTTCTGCTCAGCCGCTGTCCAAAGCAGCCGTGCACTGCCCAGAAAGCCTAAACTTGCACCCCAACCACAACCTGTATGCCCCAGAACCCTAAACCTAAATATCTTTAAAGCGCTTCACCACCGAAACAACCTTGATAAGGACTCTTTCCGCCTTTCTTTTGGAATTCGAGGGTTTCCCTTCACGTCAGAGGAAACAGAAAGTCAAAGAATCTGTTCATGTTCGAGTCTGGGTGAAGGTATATTTAAGCCGCTTTTGTGGGACATTCTTGAAACCTAGCTTTTTTTTCATACATGGCTGGTGCTTCGTATCAGCTGGGCCAAGATGTTGCATGTCCGGTGGCTTTCAGGGGAGGAGTTGGCGACCTTGCCTCTCGAAGGCTTGCGCGACATAAGGTCAGTGAAGCAGGTTTTGCATAAAGAGCACGGCTTGCCTCCCCGATTTCGGCAGAGACTCCTGCTTGGAGGGGGAAGCGTAGAAGATGCTGTGGAGGTAGATGCATCCATGAACATGCAGCTCGTCCTGCTGGCTTTCTCCGACACATCCCAGGAAGGGGCCCTACAGATGGTCCGGTTTGCTGAAACTTAGTTCCCCAATACCCAACCTTTAAACTTCTTGGGGTTCTTATAATTTTATAGTAACCTGAAAGTTTAATCTTTGATTTCCCTGGCTTATTGGGGAAGCAAGGAAAGTGGTGACACCAAGGAGGTTGAGGCTTTGCTTCAGCTGCCTCAAGATCCGGACTTGGCATGCTTGACGCTCAGATCCACATGGGAGTTTCCGAAAATACGGGGTACCGTATTTTGGGGTCCTTACAATGAGGATCCTACTATTTAGGGTACTATATTAGGGTCCCCTATTTTGGAAAATCCCACATTGGAACCTTGTGAAGATGTGTTCTCAAGTGCAGCGACACATCAGGCACCCGCTTTGACGAGATGCGCTTCCTTACGATATATGAGGTTTTATGCCAGAGACTAGAAAACGCTAATTATTATAGCGAAATCCGTCCACTGTATTTTAATACCCTCGGTTTTTTAAATGCAGGGCCTCCTATTGTGCCCAAGCCAGAACCGAGGAGACACCAGAGACCTCTTTCCAGGGCTGCGCGACAGGGCCACTTAGTGGCTGAGTAGGTAACCTTTAACCTTTTTGGGGCTCTTAGAATCCTACTATATTTCAACAATAGGTTAACCTTTTTTGGGCTAGGGTACTCAGCCCCTAAGGCCATACCGCCGTGGTACACTTGCTGTTGGAGGCCAAGGCTGGCCTTAACTTGGGAAACGGCGATGGCACGACGGCCTTGATGTATCTCTGACAAAGGGTTTAGGGTTTAGGGTTTAGGGGTTTAGGGTTTAGGGTTTAGGGGTTTAGGGTTTAGGGTTTAGGGGTTTAGGGTTTAGGGGTTAGGGTGACATGGCCCCCAAAGGGCTTGGATTTTCCTTTTCTCTGGTTTTTCTGTTCGTACACCTGCCAAAGTAAGCTCGAAGATTGTTTCTCCATCAGCGCACCGGTGAATGCAGGTACTCGGCGTTCTACGGCCACGAAGAGGTCACGCGCGTGCTGTTGGACGCAGGCGCAGATCCCAATGTTCTGCGGAACGATGGTGCAAGCGCCTGCCTAGGCGCGGCCCCTAAACCCTAAACCCTGAACCCTGAACCCTGAACCCTGAACGCTAAAGCCCTAGGCGCGGCCTACCAGGGCTATTTGGAGATTGTGCGGATGCTGTTGGAAGCGAGCGCCGACAAGGATTCGGCGCGAAACGATGGTGCAACGGTGTTGATGGTCGCTTGTTACTGGGCCTAGGGTTTAGGGTTTAGGGTTTAGGGTTTTTTTGGGGACCTGTTCCTTAAAGGAACCATTATTAAAATAAAAGTCCATACTTTGTTCTGCCTGGTTACTTCAAAGCCCAGGTTACCAGGGCCATGCGGAAGTGGTGCGACTGCTGACGGAGGTCCGGGCTTCCTTGGACAGGGCCGACTTCGCGCAAAGCACGGCCTTGATGTGTGCAAGCCAGGAAGGCTACTTAGAGACTCAGTAGCTGAGTGGATACACTTTGCACTTTTTGGCATAAAACTGAAAGTGTACACTTTTCTGGGCTTATGAACTCAGCAACTAAGGAGACGGTGCGTTTGCTGTTGAGGGCAGGTGCGAAGAAAGATCTGGCCGACACCGAAGGAACCACAGCACTGCTGCTCGCGTGCCACGACGGGCATCTGGAAGTGGCCCGGCTACTGCTGGAGGCTCGGGCCCAGACAGACCCACGAAACGTTGAGGGCATTACACCCCTCATGATCGCGGCAAGGGATGGCAATGCTGCCATTGTTCGCTTGCTGCTGGAAGCCGGTGCAGACACAGGCTTGCTGGACTCTTCAGGCAAGACTGCGCTTCAGGAGGCAGCTTTGGAGGGGCATCATGATGTGGTCCAGCTGCTCAGGGCCAAGCGGCCTCGTAGCGAATAAGTCTGGTGAGCAAAGTGCCGAAGAGACGAGCAAAGCTGTGCGCTCCGAGCTCGCTTGGGCTGGTAGTTTTGATGTTTGCATGTCACGATCGCACTACTATCCGGCTGGATTCACGACCATCGCACCAGGGCTAAGATGCTATTCAGAGCACTTTGGCGCCCAAGAGGATGCAACCATTACAAAAGCAGTATAGAGCCGTTAAAGAAACCCTTCCCAAGTCCTTGCGGCAGGTGACAGATCGCCTAAGCCGCACTGGTGCAACTGCAGAAGTGTCCAGCACTTATCCCGAAACCTCAAATCCTCAGGACCTAATGGGGGGTTTCCGGAAATAGGGACCCTAATAGAGTACCCCAAATAGTAGGATCCTTAGTATATATAGCCTTATTCTAATATAAGGGCCCCAACATACGGTACCCCTTATTTCGGAAACTCCCAATGCCTCCCTAAACCCTAAACCCTAAACCCTAAACCCCTAAACCCACAGCGTGTCGCAGGCCCGTCCTGGCAAGGCGGAAGGCAAAGCAGTCAAAGAGTACTGAAAACCAGTGCAAGTCTGAAGCCCTAAACCTTAACTCATATAGCCTTAAGAATTAGAGTATATTTGGGGTATATTATACTATAGTTATAATGAGGAACACCAAAACTAGTATAATATTATATGTATGCTATAGTTATAATATGGAACCCCAAAACTATAGTATAGGTACCCGGTACCCACCTTCCAGGAGTTGGACGTGCTGCTCGTGGCCATCGCGGCCCTGCGGTGCGAGCTGGATGAGGCGAAGACCAAATGTGGTCAACCCCCAAGCCCTTAGAAAAGGGGTCTTATGAATTACCTATACAATTTCTGGGGGCTTCCTTTTGAGAACTCTAGTATAGCATCCCCCCAAAACCTATTTGAATCATGAGGGCCCCTACATTAAGCGAAAATCTCAACCTCGAGCACTTCGTCTGTGCAGCTTCGATTCCCGGACCTCTTACAGCCACGCCACAATGTATGCCGTCATTTTGAGGCCTAGGCACCCCAACCCAAATCCCAAAGCTCGGAACCGTTAAGACTGTTGAGATCCGTTTGCAGAATTTAACAGGTTGCTTCGATGACATATCCTGGTAAGACGCCTGGTAGCTCGCTTCTCATGTCCGAGGTGCCTTACAAGCTTGTCCTTTCGCTGAGACTAGGCTTCAGGGTTTAGGGTTGAGGGTTTCGGGTTGAGGGTTTAGGGTTTAGGTTTCAGGATGCTTTTCTCCGACAGGCTGACAGGTCTGTGAAGCCCTACGCCGAACCCTCTGTCAGGCTTTTGGCTTCGGCTGTCGTCGGATGAGCACCATGGCGGCTCGGTGACGCGGCAGCGCTCACTGACCCTAATTAAACCCTCAACCTTGGGTGCTGCCCCCACTCAGTAACAGTTGGATAATATTTATATTATGGATATATTAGGCCCTTAATAGTAGCCCTATTATAGACTGTTACTGTATGGGGGCAGTACCCAACTTCAACCCAAAACCCCTACAGGGGCACCATAGGCTTTTCGAGAATCGGGTCCGCATGAAGGGTGCTGAAGGGAATCGGGTCCCCTTAACGGGCACTCTAGGGCCTAAAGGGTACTATAGGGATCTATAATCGGGCCCCCTGAAAAAACGGATACCATGGGGTTTTGTAATTGGGCCCTTGACGGGTACTAAAATAGGGGCCTTAACTATACTATTTTGGGGGTTCCTTATCCTGATTATATATAGTATAATATATCCTTAGGGTTTAGGGTTTAGGGGAGTACTGTACATCCGAGGGGTTTACACTGAGGTGCGGGACGTTTGATATCTGCTCTTCTGGTTTCACACCAGCAGTCCTCGGGTACAGTTTCTTTGGCGGCTTCGAGGCTCATTTTGTCGTGGCTTCGGTCCCATGGTTAGTGTGGAAGATGTGCTGTTTCAATACGAATACAAATACTTGTACTTATACTAGTCAGATGTCTGTAAGCTCCAGGAGTTTAGACATCTACCTCACGGTGGTTGTCTATACTAGGTGGGCCTGTGCATGCGATGGAAGCTGGATCGGTGCATCGTGTGAAGCCTTAGTTCACTCTCCAACACGTGCCTGACTGGCTGGATGGTGCTGGCCTGGCGTGATAGGCGTCCTATGCCAGGCCTCAGTACAGATGATGCATGCACTCTGCAACGGAAGTGGTGCCAATTCACAGCAGATGATGCTGCAGGCGGCATTTTGCTGCGGTTTGCCGAGAGAAATCCGGAGTTAGAATGTGTTAGCGGGACTGATGTGCCTTGCGGGCCACCTTCTTCAAGTTGCTCGCAGGTCATGAAGCTCAATCTGTTACAAGACCAGAGTGTACTTGTGAAAGTGACGAACAGAAATCACAGCTATCAGACTTGTCACTCTGCCTAGTGATTCGCTCAGCAATGCAGGAGGCAACAAAAATACAAATGTTCTTAGCAAGACCAGCGCGAAATATTAATCTAACATTAGTACTAGTACCAATGTTAATACCAATACGAGTACTCATACCAACATGACTATCAACAATATCTTTATTCATATTAATGTGAGTATTAATGCTAGAACAAAGTATTGTCATTCATATCAACACTCAGTTTAAGATTCATACTTTTCTGATATTACTATCATAACATGATTATCAATACGAAACCTAATGCTGGTGTAAATTTTAATAAGAATATTGGCATGTTTAACAACAGTACAGTATTAATGACCATGAATATGAGTATGAATACTCATACTCAGACTCACACTCACACCCATACTCACACTCACACTGATAATCATACCAATACTCATGCTGATACTAATGCTCATACTATCCCCAGTACCTATACCAAAGCTACGACTAATGTGGGTACCAATGTGAATTCCTTTCATGAATGCTAATATGAATGCTAATATTAGTACTAACATTTCAATACTCCAATACCATTATTCATGTAAGATCAGTACAACACTCCTGATGCTAATAACAATGTTAATGATGGGTTCTCCTTTTCTAGTGGTTTCTCGTTCTCAGTTTTTGGAGTTCTGAACTTACCTCTCTGCTTAGTGATTCATGCTTGGGCTTCAGGGTTTAGGGTTTGGGGTTTAGGGTTTAGGGTTAATGGGTTCCTCGGCCTGGGGACCCAGCAGGAAGACAAAATCGATGTCTGCTTAACGCTACTATTTGCACTTTCCTCTTGTGTCGGCTCCAGGGCGATACCCTTAAGCCAAAAACCTAAACCCTAAACCCTAAACTCCTAAACCCCAAACCCTAAACCCTAAACCCTAAACCCTAAACTCCAAAACCCCAAGCCC